CATCTGAAATATTTTAGCTAATTTCCATAACAGAATGATTGTGATGGTTAAAATATATTTAATATAAATGCAAGAAATGTTAAAAAATAGGCGAATTGACAGTAATCCAAAGGTAAGAAAAACCCCCAGGGATAATACCGAAAACATGTGAACTCTTGCCAAGGACGTACAAGTTAACAATAGTAGATCCCACGATCTTCTCAGGGAGGCCCTGAGGACAAACACAAGGCCGCAGCCCAAGCATCGGAATTGTGTTGAGAAATAATAGGCATAATCAGTGTCCATAAAATGTTTTCAAATATGTACTTTGTGCAAGGATAACAGTAATAACAGTCCTAACCTATACGAGAGGACTATTCCTTAACTGCTCGCCCGCTACTTGTCTCTCATGACAGAGTGCCACTTAGGACATTTTCTCACACTTACATAAATGAGAAAATCACCCCCTTGATGCTTTAGAAGCATTACTTCCTCTTCCTGGGAAGACCGATTTACTCACAAGAACCGTATTCACATTTCCTTTCTGTAGACTTAGAAAACAAAAATGTGTGAACTTATAGGCTTTTCTCACCTGGTACCCGTTTTTCCCAAACTGCTTCACACTTCCGGTTATGTGTGAAGGCTGGGTTTAGCCATCACGAAGGTGGGCCTTGTCCACCAAAACGGCTGAGGCCAAAAGCAGAGGCAAGTCCCTTTCTGCGAAAACATAGTAACAGACTTCCCCAGACTTGCATGTGAATTTTTCAATAGGGCTCCAAATATATTTATTGAATATTTGGAACTATTTCATATAATTTCTAAATATGAGTAGAAAAAAGAGAAATCATATATTATAGTTTTTCGTATTAAGATTTTTTTCATTCAAATGAGATTTGTTCAAAAAAAGTTTTTGCAAGGAAATTTATTTAATGTGACAAATTGCAAGGGGTCAGTTTTCATCCTAGTCTTGGGCTATAATAATACTGTAGATTACCTTTATTCCATAAGTAAGCATCTTTATGTAAAAGATAAAATATTTTTCATGCAATGTATAGACTTTGATCTGCATTTTTTTAAAAAAAAATTACCTTTGGGCCAGATTCTAATACAATTTCATGGGAAAAAACTCCTATTGAGGATGACTGAATTCCAATATAATTTGAAAGCAATTAAAGTTTAACAAAGGAATTGTTCAGTAGAGTTATTCTGGAAATGAATCAGGCCCAAAGGGAATAAAACAAGCATATTCTGGTCTTTGGAGCAGCTCTAAGAAATTTCTAAGTTCTGTTGACTCACTAGAACTACAGTGTTCCAGTTGGAGAGGAAAAACGCTACAAGGCAGTCGTGTATGCAGATTCACTTAAGTTTCAGATACCGGAAAGTCCCTCAAAACTCAATAGCATCAATTCTCAATAGGTATTCCTGTACAACCTGAAGCATGAAACATCTAGTTTGTTTTATTAAAATGTAATCTAGGTCTGACACGATACAAAATTTCCAATTTAAAATACTTTCTTCTGTGTTGTTTTTCTCTTTGTCGAAAGCATCTGGAGGGTCACGTATGTCTCAGAACCTCATTACCTCGTGAGTGCCAGTTTCATACTCAAGTAGCACAGGAAACAACTCTAAGCTAAGGAAAGGAACACAGAAAAAAAGGAAAGAATGGTTCTGTGTGCATAACCTTAGGGGCTGCATTATGCCATTGGTGTAACGCCTCATCTTTTTTATCATACTCTATACTATGACCCAAGATAATATTCTGCATTAAATTAATACAGGTTGCTTTTTTAATCTTGTCGATATTTGCTGCATTAATATTTTACAATAGAACTGGACAGATTATTAAAGAATGAGGTTTTCTGGATGTCTATTTGTGCACATTCCATCTTGGGGTTAAATCTGTAGAGTTAAGACATAGAAAGCATTAACCAGCACATACTAATTAATCGCCTTTAATTAATTAAATAGAGAAATAAATTGGTGAAACAAAATTGCCAAGTAATTAACTCAGTGAGTTAATGACTGATATGTCAACCTCATTTTAAGAAACTTTAAGTTACTAAAAAGCATGAGTCTACCCTTAATCACAACGATATCTGACACAAAATTCTGAAAAATGTGCCTACTCAAGTGAAAATTCCAAAAGAGAACCGACAACCTAATATTTTGAGTAATGTGCTACCTTAAATGACAGGGAATCGTATCCAGAATGGCAACATGAGGAGCCATAACTGGTGGAATTAAAAAAATATTAAAAAGCCATTTAAAGTGTCTGGAAATTCTAAAGACATATAGCAAATGCAAAAGCATTTATTCAAGAAAATCTCCTAAATCTCAGTAAGAACAATGAGAGTATTTGGAAGTTGAGCCAGAAACTCACCCCTTCCCTTCCCCTTTCTCAGCTTGGCACGGCGAAATCTCCACTCTAGGTGGGGTCGGCCAAGATGGGGCACCCTCTTCCCTCAGCTCCCCACCAATGGATACTGAAAAGGCAGCAGAGGCTAAATCCTTAGGGACTATAACCAAGAGTTCGTGGGTCACTTCCCCCCAATCCCTACTCAGAGAGCAGAGGTTCTACTAAGTGCACATAGAACATTCTCCAGGATAAACCATGTCTTAGACCATAAAACGAGCCTCTACAGATTTAAAAGGATTGGAATCATGCAATGTTTTCTGACCACACGGAGGGAAAGTATAAGTCAATCACAGAAATTTGGGAATTCATGAATATGTAGAAATTAAGCAACACATACCTAAATAACCATGAGGTAATGAAGTTACAAAGCAAGTTAGAAAACACTCTGCGATGAATAAAAACATTAATTTACAGAATGCAGCTAAAGCAATGCTTAGAGGAAATTTTATAACTATAAATGACTTTATTAAAAAAGATCTCAAATCAACACCTTAATCTTTCACCTTAAGATACTGGACAAATTAAATCCAAAGCAAGAAGAAGGAAGGAAATAATAAAGATCAGAGTAAAACATAATAAAATAGAGAATAGAAACACTGTATAGAAAACCAATGAAATTAAATGTTGGTTCTCTGTAGGGAACAACAATATTGGCTGGCCTTTAGCTAGACTGACCAATAAAAAAAGAGAACTCAAATTATCTTAACTGACAACTTTCTAAGAACAATATTACTTAGGATCAGTACATTAATTACCATGAATCAGAGATGCTTTTAGATGCTTTTTCCCCCTCTGTTAGGTAAACAAAATCCACGCTAAATTAAATTTCAAGATCTTTGAAATTTGTCATTTATCCCTAGTTAACTCCCCTGCCGCACACACACTTCTGCTTTGGGAGGCTCCACTCCCATTTCAGGGTCCACTATATGCCTTGTACTTTATTTTCCCATACCATCAAAACAGAACAGATTTGAGATCAGTTCTTTGGTTTTTTTTGTTGATTAACAAATTACCCTTTCAAATTCATTCCTGCAAAAGCATCATATGAGCAGCATTCACAGTCTGGTCTGAGGTACCTAATTGTTAAATGAAGGGGTTTTCCTTACTAAAGGATATTAAGCTTCCACACAAGCTCACAACAGATACCACACACTGAACCAAGTAGTTCATTTCTGTTTTTTGACTCAGAAAATGTACAGCAAATAAATTTGACTGCTTCAATTAAAATATATATTGGCAAGGGAAATATGGGAAACTAGGTACCACCTTGAAAATCATTTGAATTCGTTTTTGTAGTTATGTTTATTTTGGAATTTTAAGAGATGGATGGGTGGAGACTACAATAAGCATCAGAAGTCAGGTCCAAGAACAGCCCCTGGCTGTTCTGTCCCAAATGCATCAGGGGCAGAGAGGCTGGGTGTCTTGTGTACCATTTTGTCTCAGGGCCTGAACACAGGGTAAACCAAAAGAGGCCAGCAGCACCATTCGGCCTCTCATTCCCAAAAGGCTTCAGGGTTTGCCTTTCGATGTGAAGTATCAATGAGGCTACACATGCAGCCAATGTTTGGCAAGCATGTGGAATCAGTTTTAGTCAGTAAGATATAAATGTTTAAATATGCCACAGTTTTTGTAACCGTGTTTTGCCATTTCTTCATTTCTGTATATGTATGAGAAACCACAAAAAGAAAGAATCCAGGCTGGATTGGCCTGGATTCAGAGGCTTCACCTGACGCTGCCCTAACGTGGTCCACGGCTACCACAGACCCTGACCTTTCCTGAGCCTCTGCTTCTCCTCACTCTGCTGCAGCTCTAGTCCTCTCTCTCTCGGCCCAAAGTTCCACCACGATCCTTCTACACTTCTGTTTTCAGATACTTGGTGTGATTTTTATTTGAATTTAATGCCCTCATTATTACAACCTCTACTCAACACACTTAAAATCTCTCATCACATGCTTATTCCACATGTATTATTTCTATTTCTAACTTAGATATTTTGCATCACAGAATACCCCCAAAACGGGACTATGTTATTGAAGTTATTAGTTTGACAACAATAATTATAACAACAAACATTTATTAAGTACTTGCTTTGTGCCAGGCACTCTACTGTTTTACATAATTTATCTCATTGTGTCACATCTAACTGTATCTAAGCATATGCTTTGTCAGTAGCACTTAAAAATAATTAAGATAAAGATAATGTTGGTCATCTTGGAAAGAAACATCTCAATATATCGAAGATGTGAAATTCATAGAATAAAATATTCTGAAGTCGAAAAATGTACAACACTAAATTGTTATAGGATACTATTAAATTCATGTTTCTACTATGGAAAAAAATGCTTTCTTTTTGTCCTATTTATTTCCTATATGTTTCTCAAATTCCTAGAAACCACAGCTTCTAATATAGCAAATAAATATAATTAGATTCATATATTCAAATAAATCCTTTTACTAAGAAAGCAATATATAAAGGGAGTGTTAGGTTCTTGCATTAACTCCCAAATTATTTTCCATAATAACAAACCAATTGTGGTATGAGGGCTGAAAAATAATGAGATATGATTTTTACTAATCCTTTATGTTCCGCTTTGAAGCCGCACATTGTTCTTGATCAAAACTCTTATTTTATTATCAAGACTTACATTATTCTCTGAAGGAGTGAATTTTCTGTTGGAGACAGGAAATGAAGGACTGTTAATGCATTTTTCTGCCTCAATATTAATACACGATATATATTCATAATAACTCCAAAACTAGTTTCATTTCTTCTACACATAAACAATAAACAGTATGTGCAAAAATATGAACCCCAGCAGCAGTGATGTGGCTATATAATATGGGGTTTCTTTTGAATGTACAGCCATTTGTAATATTTCATTCGAGCATGTGTACAGGGAACTACCACAGATGTCCATCAAAGCTGGATTAGATGAAGACAAACAATGCAGGCTTTGAGCATAAAACGAAGCTGCAGTTCAAAAGTTTCCGATTCTCATCCAAGGGCACTATAGGACCACTGTCTTCCTCCTTTATGCAAAAAGAATGAGTCAATTATATTACTGACATTCTTCCACAGCAGACTGAAAAGTCTTTTTACAGTCGAACAAATGACAGTGAAAACTAAAAACTGCGTAAGAAAATGTGGAAATTTCAAAAATATCTTTATGCTCAAGTTTGTCATCTCTGCAAATTTTCCACAAAGTCTGCCATAATTTTATGGCTATGACAGCATCTATTAATGAAAAATTGCATAGAAACAAATATTTTCAAATAAAATAAATACATTAATGTTTGAATTGTTTCTAAACAAAAATTTACATATCGTGTTTAATAATAAAATTAAGCTTTCAGTTATTGTTGTTAATTTCATGTGTAATAATCTCAAGTGGTAACTGTTTGAGCACAAAGATCACTTCCTCTTAGTCCCCAAATAACTTCACAATTCTATTAAATAAGTGAATAAATAATAAATAGTGGATAATGTATGAAACAATAGTACTTTTTGAGATCATGAATTTTCCACTTAGGAAAATGACACCAGCTTTTAGTTTAATAACATCCCACTTCTGTCGCGAGTTGGGAGTGGTGAAACTTACACATACAGTTGCTAAATGTAAACTAGTGCAATCTTTTGGACAATAAACATCCATTAAAATTTAGAATGCATATACTTTTTGACCGGGAATTACACTGCCAGGAGCTTATCATAGAGATATAACCAACCAACCAGACAAGGATTTCATGTGCAAGGATATTCACTGGAAACAAAAACTGGAAACAAACCAAATGACTTCCTTCCTTAATAATTATGATACAATGGAGTATACTTTAAAATGGTCCATATATGTTATGTGTGTGGATGTGCCTGTGTGTGTATATATATATATATATATAAACATGTCTGCACATGTATGCATATGTACATATAAATATATATAAGCTCTGGAACAATTTATTAGAAAATATTTATAATGCTGGGATATATATTTCCAAACTACATTTCAAATAAGGTAGTGAGTCATGACCAAATCCTTTAGATTATGCCTCAAAGCTATAATTTCAAAGGTAAAATATTTTTAATGTATGTATTTGACAATTTTAACCCATGTGATGAGAACCCAGCCATTCCGAGTTGCTGTCTAGGATTTTTGCAGTATGAAAACCCATCTCACACTGGAGGCAGGACATTTAGGTAAGGACTCAAGCTGAGGATTCCCACCACCAGTTTCGGCCTTGCTTTCCCAGGGCACCTTTTAAAATGACCACTCAGAGTTGAGCCCATGAAAATTTAGGGACCGCTGCCCCAGCCACCTTATAAGTAATAGGTGTTTATTATCCTGCTCTATACTCCCACTCACTCGGGACCTGGGACGGAAAACTGCCTTTCCCAAGGCTCACTGCACCCCCATCCTGGGATCGGTAAGCAATTACCCACAGGACACCGTGTTTCCACTGTGTAAAGGTACTGAAACTGTGCCTTCAATTCCCCAAAGTGCGAACTCAGATGCCATGGGCAGGACCTGTAGACCCCGTGTGGGTGGCCTGTGCCTTCTCATTCAGAAGGTCATTCTGCATATTCTTACCTAAACACAACCCAAGAAATTTTAAATCAAAGTGACTGACGTGAAACTGACTGATGATCAAAATTGTAAAGCCACTGCATTTCAGAGCTCAAAGGAGCCTAAAGGTCACGAAGTATGGATTTTCTGCAAAAGAAATATAACCTAAAATGTGTTCCATATAACTCTAGAAGTCAATTAGAAATATAACCTAAAATGTGTTCCATATAACTCTAGAAGTCAATTAGAAAAACAAATCCATGTTCAAAAAATCTGTAAAAACTCTGGTTGAATATAATAAAATATGGTTCTTTCATACAAAACCACCTCGGAGTCTGTAATATGCTAATATGCATTGTAAATCTCCAAAACAAGACTATTATATTCAGGATCCTCCAAATTTATGTGGACAGTCACCCTTGACTTAACAAACACCTCAATGGCCCAGAGCTCTGCAGAACAAATATATTCAGGAAAATCTAGCCTAGAGGCAAATATTCCAAGTTTATGAAAGTAATAAAATTTAAGAATATATCCAATTATGCTAAAAATTAAGCTACCATGGTCCAAAACATCAATTAAACCAAATATAGGTAAGAAAATATGCAATCACTCTAATCACACAAGGTCAAATCTTAATCCAAAGGATTTCAACAATGAATATATATCCACGTGGCAACAGAGGCACGTGCTCATTGCTCTCGCTTTCGTTTTTAAAGTTCTAAGGGTCTGACTTAAAGGTTTTTCAATAAATGCCAAATGAATTCTAATTTACCTGAGTGTGGACTCTGCTGGTATATTTAGGTACTCATTCTGCTAAAATCTCCCACAGAAGAAACTAAAAATAATATCCTATGCTTATTGAGCTTTTGTCAATTTTTTTTTCCAAAGAAAATATCACCTCCCAATGCCAACGCACTCCGAGGATGATCTTTATTTTAGCTCCCTCAAAAGATGAACACTTGATCTTGTTCACGGCAGATACCAGATTACCTGGGAAATATTTCAATTGATCCCAATATGGGGTACGAATTCGGAATCAGGGAGCCTCAAGTTCACATCCCAGCTCTGTCGTCAACTTGCTGTAAGAATTTAGGCAATCTACGTGTCCCTTCTAAGCCTCAGAAGGCTTAACAGTACCTATTTCAGAGGTTTTGTGTGAGAATGTAATATGACAACAGATATGACAACAGTGCCTCCCAGGCATATAACTGAACCACTAGGGACAATTTCACTCACTGCTGAAAACTGACCTACAGTACTGTATGGCCTAATATTTTCCATAGCGAATGTCTGAAATTGACCTTTCAGCATTTCAGAGAAAGCTTTCAAGGGATGGAATCACACTCAATCTCATCTGCGCTGTGCTCCCCAGGTCCGACACAATATCTGGCCCAAAGCAAACACTCCAAGAAAGTGCGTGTGTGTGTGTGTGTGTGTGTTTACACATACATTAAAAAGTGTAACAAAATGACAGTAGCAGTTGCTCCTATTTGCAGACTTTTTTATTTGCATCAAAATTAAATATGCACATACTTCAAAGGGTTAAATAGTTCTAAAAGGTTAGTTACAAAAACTATCAGTCCACTGTCCCATATGACACCAATTTCTTCCTCTTCAAGTCTTTCAGCCGATTATTGTATTAACATCATAGAGCTAAGTAGTGTGATTGTTTTGCTCCTTTTCAATTTTCTGTTTTAGTATTGTCTGTCACTTTTCCTATAGAGAATGAAGATGTGAACCTCCTTCCTCCTGTCAGCCCCTACACACACACACAGAGCCTTCCCTTCACCCCATTTTCCCAAAATGGCTACACAGTAATTTTGGTTGGATCAATATTCAGCTTCAATTTTTGTGATGGTGTAAATATTATTCAGAGCTGAACTACATGCATTAATATTGCAATTTAACAAACGTCTTTTTGTTTTCTCTGGAGTGAATTACCTTGGGTTTTTCCCACCTTAGCTTTCTATGCACTCAAGTCAAAACTACCAATTGCCTGACTTTCCTCTCAAGAATTTAAGACATATCATGCAGTCTATAATTTCATCTTCCTAAACAAAACTCTTCTAGAACCTTCTCTTCTGCTCACATCTGGACTGACACCCTGTGTGCTACACTCCTACTTCACCATCCTTCTGGCAATCTTCTTTGCCTTTGTCCTTTGTCAGATCTCCTGTTTCCTGAATCCCACATCTGTTTTCTTGGCTTACTCCATTTTGGTGAAGCATATCTTCCAGCAGTTTCCTGGGAAGTAAATTTCCAATGACTTTTATGTCTGAAATGACTTTGAAAAGTCATTTCAAATTATTCAAAGTTTGACTAGGTAAGGAATGATGGGTGGGTTGTAATTTTCCCCCAGAATTCTGAAGGTCATGCTTCACAGACTTTTAGCTTCCGGTGTTGCTGTTGAGAAGTCTCATACTCAAATTCAAAACTCTTTGTTTTATTCTCCCCATAATTTTCCCTCAGTGTTAAGAAATTTCACAATGATAGTGTCTTATTATAGGTGTACTTTGATTTACCGTGCTGGAAATTTAGTGGGTCCTTACGATTTATAAATTACGTCCATGAGTTCTGAGAAAATGTTTTGAATGGTTTTGTCGCTGGTTCCTCTCCTCCATGTCCTCTGTCCTCTCTACTTTTCTATTTGGATAATGAAGCTCCTAAACTGGTCCTCTAATTTTCTTATTTTATTCTCTCCTGGTTTTGCTCTACTTTCCTGACAAATTTCTTCAATCCTGACTTCTGATTCTGCTATAAAATTCTTCACTTCCGCTTTCGTGTTTTGAATTTCCAAAGGCTCTTTTTTTCAGATTCCCTTTCTTAATAGCATCCTATGTCATGGGTGCGATTTCTTTCCTAACCTCTCTGAAGATGTGAATGATTACTTTTTTGAAGTTTTTCCCTTCCTAAGTACTTCTTTCTTATCCTTTGCATTCTTCTGTTTGTTTTGGACTCTTACATGTTATAGATTTTCTTCAAATATCCTTAATAGCTCATACCTGAGAAAGGGAACAACCACTACAAGAAAACTGGAGTGAAAGCTCCACACACACTAGGGGTGCTTATCTGTTGTATCCTCACCACAGTATAAGCCAGCTGGGCTATTTCAGTAGAGAAGTCACTAGGTGTCAGATTCTCCAGAAAGATCCTTCCAGCCACCTGTCTAAGTAGGGGCCTTTCTGTCAATATATTGGAGGCCAAGTCCTCTTTTCAGTGACGTACACTGATCCTCGGTTGTGCCTGTGTCCCTAATAGAAAGACTCTCTTTATCATGTCTGAAGGGTATCCCCAGGCCTCTACAAAAGACTGGGAAAGGATTTGGGGATGTAACTGTTTCTAAAACTTCTTTTAACCTAAACAGATGATTTAGCCTCCTTTTACTCTAACTTCTAGAGATATCTGTTGCCACCAATTCCTGGGACTTTGATTCTGTCACGTAAACAGGCTCGTTGTTCACATCTG